AACAATAGTTCTCTCCTTAGGTTCGTTGAGGGCCCGAGCACTTGACTAATCTGACAGACTGTAAATCGACGGGAGGCTTTAAAATCGGAAGAGCTTACCTGGAGCTGAAGACGAAGGTCCATCCCAGCTACCATGAGATGGAAAAAAGCTGCTCTTTAGTAACGTACTCTCGAAAACGGAAAAAAACACAAATAGAAACGAAAATGATGGCCAAGATCAAAGAGCTGTCCAAGGAAAGAACGTGTGTCAAAACACAATCAAAGAGTCAAGCTTACCGGGGTGGTCGTCGCGTTTATAGCCATGGGCAGCGATCAATCGATAGAAGAGCTTGCGAACGACCAATCGACGGAACGAGAGAGCGAGGACGAAGAAGGCGACGAAAGAAAGAGAACAAAAGATCTAGAGGAGCGAGCACCAGGACGTGGACTGTAGGCCTCGGATGAACAATCCTGAGATGGGATTGGGAGCTGATGGTAGAAAGCTCTCCCTGGAACAGTAGTTCTCTTGGTTTGTTTGTAGGAGGTTGATTGAGTGATTGGTAACGAAAAACTGTAAAAACTGAAAAGAATGAAAAAACTGTAAATCTAGGGGCGATTCAAACATTCCGAGCTTACCTGGAGCTGAAAAATAAGCCGTCCAGCTACCATAGCAAACGAATACCATGGTAAAGAGGAAAAAGGTCGCTGAAACTGAAGAACGAAAAAACGCGTCAAAAAACAATCAGGAATGCTTCAATTCACGCTTACCGGGCTGGTCGTCGCGTATAGCCGTGCCATGGGCAGCAATCAATTGATGGTAGGGCTTGCGAACGACCAATCGAGGGAACGAGGACGAAGAACATACCGGGAAAACAGAAAGAACGAAAGATGTCTAGAGGATGGTACAGCCGCTCGAGCACGTACAGCACTTCTGGCACTGATGGGGTGGTGGCGACGCGGGTGGTGATCCTGGAAACGCCGGTGGATGATTTGCTGGCGATCAGTATCCACTTGCCTTTGCCGCCGTTCGCGATCGGGCCAGGGCGTGACGGACCATGGCCGAATCCACCCGGGATGATGCTACTTGGAGTAGCCGTGCCGGAGGAGCTTGGAATCGCGCTGGAGGAGCTCCGCTCGATATCCCAGCCGCTTGATGATGAACTCGCCTTTGGAGTCGACGTAGCGCTCCATGAGGGAAGACCAAAGCTTGCTGTGGGAGAGGAGCTCGGACCTGGAAAGCTCACGATTAGAGCTTGCTGTGGAACTGGACGGGCTCGGTTCGTTACCTGGAGAGGAGCTAGATGAACTTGGATCGGAGGTTGCGGCCCTGGATAAGCTCAGACCTGGAAGATGTCATGATTGGAGCTTGGAACGAGCTCGGATCCTTACCTGGAGGCGAGGTTGCGGCGCTCAGACCTGGAAGATTTATTATGGCGTTGGATGAGCTTGGAGTCGAGGCGCTCCCTGGAAGATTGCCGCTGGATGAACTTGGACCAGGAATTGCTGCGGCAATGGACGAGCTCGGATCCTTGCCTGGAGACGATATTATAGCGTTGGATGGGCTTGGATCCTTTGGAAACGAGGCTGCGGCGTTCGATGAGCTCGGACCCGGAAGACCATAGCTTGCGGCAATGGACGAGCTCGGATCCTTGCCTGGAGACGCGCTGGATGAGCCTGGATCCTTCGGAATCGCGGTTGCGGCGCTCGATGAGCTCGGACCTGGTGCTGTGGCAACGGACGAGCTCGGATCCATGCCTAGAGACGATATTATGGCGCTGGATGAGCTCGGATCCTCTGGAATCGAGGCTGCCCCGCTCGATGAGCTCGGACCTGGAAGATGAAAGCTTGCTGCGGCGGACGAGCTCGGGTCCTTCCCTGGAGACGATATTACGGCGCTGGATGAGCTCGGATCCTCTGGAATCGAGGCGGTGCTCGATGAGCGCGGACCTGGAAGAACAGCGCTTGCCGTGGCACTGGACGAGCTCGGATCGCCTGGAGACGATATTTTGGCGCTCGATGACGAGCCTAGACCTACGGCGCCGGAGCTGCTAGGACCCTCCCGGGAAGACCTTGGAATCGATATCGCCATCGGCTCCTCCCTGCGAGAGAGTAGACCTGAGATTACGCTGGAGGAGTCCGGATTTTCGCCGCTTGAGCTCGCGACCATCGGCGGATACCCTGAAATCCAAGGCGTGGCACTGGATGAGCCCGGATCGCTGCCCTGAGTCGATAGTACAGTACCGGAATTGCTAGAGTCTTCACTAGAATCTTCTGAATCGGTTGAATCCTCGATCTCGCTGGCCCCAGAGCTGCTCGAAACCTCACCGGAAGCGTTTGGACTCGATATTACGGAAAGATTGAGCACTGGTGTGCTGCTGCCATCCGAAGAACTCGTGTGATGCACCGCGTTTGCGTATGCGTACGCATTATACCTAGGCCTAGGCACATTTTCTAGCGCTAGCCTCGCTTCATCCAGCACGCGTGATCTAGGCTCTTGTACTATGAGATCTAGCTCTGACAGAAAGAATGGATCTCTCATCACTCTCTCTCTCCTGTTACGCTCGTACATAGCGTCATCGACCTCCTCTTCCATTTTGTGTTAGAACCCTAGAAATCCCCCCCTAAACGTTTTTATATGGTTATCGCAGCCGTTGGATTCCGGCTGCGATTAACGGTCGGCCAACGGGCGGTCAACGATCCCCGAGCAAGCCCAGCCCGGCCCTCGTCTCGAACGCGATGTTCTCGTCCTTGAGCTCGTCCAGCGTCTTCACCCATTCCACCTTGGACGAGTGCTCGCGCGTGTGCTTGTGGAGGACGAAGAGCGCGTTGTACTCGCAGTTTGGGAACATGAACAAGGGGAAGGAGCCGTTCAATCGGTGGACAACGTAGCCGAAGCTCAGCTGGTCGCGCGGCGTGAATCGATTCACCTCGTTGAACCACAGGCAGCAGAACAAGTTCGTGAGTGGAGTGTGCTCGCGGATGATCACTGCTCCCTCTGGAACATCTGGAAATATCGAACTTTGCTCCGAGGAACGTTGGAAGAATTGGAGCTGACTTACCGCTAAGAACTGGGAGCTTGGCTTTGCTCCATGGTTGCATGCCTTCGCGCTTGTAGATCTCCATGTGTTTGTCTATCAGCGGCCTCGCGTATCTCTTCCGCCGCTTGTTGGCATCGGCCTCTTCGTAAATGCTCTTGTGGTGTTTGTGTCGAGCGATGGCGAACTTATGCCCGCCTCGCCAGAGATATCTATGCAAACGAACGAACGAACGAGTTAGAAACAAGAGTGAGAGAGACGCTGGAGGTTCCAAACCTCTCAAGTATGAGAATTGGGTCCACGACCAGCTCCATCTTTCCATCGATCCAGATGCTATACTTCGCCGCTGGAAAGATCCTGTGAGTGAGGAGCTTGGGTACCTTGCCGTTCCGGCGAGGCTCGTCATACGGCAAGTTCTTGAGAAGAACTAGCCGCCAGATGCCTGACCACCTCCCTCCTTTGTCGTCCTCGGTGAGCAAGCCCTCGGCCTTGATGCTGTCCAGAGAGATCTCGTCCACCACCATGGCGAAGCAAAAGAGCGATCGGGACGCGTCGCTCAGGTTGGAAGGCTGGTGAGGCATGTCGTAGCCGTCAAAAATTCCTGAGGCAACCACAAATTCACACCTCTTGAGATATGTCTTGTCCCGTGGATGAATGTCACCCCCAGAATTATTCATGAATCCACAATGAACCTACAAAGTTTCCAAAGAGACAGGACGATTCTATCAAGCGCTACCACGCAAAAATGCATCAAAAAACAGAATCGAAGCAGTAGAAGAGCTCACTCACCTGCATTGCTGGTTTGATCTTAAAACTCTCGTCTCTCTCCTTCCATGTCTGATAGCCGCCAAATAGTGGACGCTTGCTTTGATCACCCTTGGCAACTCTATCGTTTGTGATGTATGTGAGCTTTCGGAGTATAGAACTGTCATGCCGGAACGATGGAATTTGCACGAACTGTGGATTTCTAGCAACCGGTATAGAGCATCCTGCGTGAAAAAAAGAAAGAAAAGAAACCGAAGAAGTTCTGTCAAGAATCAAGGACGAAGAAACTACGATGAATGTACATCGATTCTTACGGTGAATTGGCTTTGGAATGAATCCCCACGCGTCCAAAAACTGGAAAGTCTGGCTCTTCTTCTTGCATTGGCCTGAGACAATGCAAAACCAAATCAAAATCACCGGAAAAACTCCGTGCGTGAGCTCATACCGGCAGATTCCACCGTGACCGACACAGATCCACAAGCGACCAGCAGCATTCCCCAAATCACAAGCACGAACAGCGCCCAGGCCACGCCCACGGCAAACATCGCTCTCACCAAGCTCTTCCTGTGCATAAATCTGCCAATCTCGCTCCGCATTCTCCTCAGATCCTTGCCGCCGCTGCCAGCGCCACTGCCACTGAAGCTGGCGCTTCGCCATCGCCAGTGCCAGCTGCCCATGGGCTAAATCTCCCAAGAACCCTAAAATACTTTTTCCTCATCTCTCTCTCTTTTGCCCGCGCATTGAATGCGAGGAGAGATCCGTTATCCTTTCCGCGATTTAGAGCGCCGCGCTGCTCAGATCCATGGCGCGAATCGTTCGGTGCGAGGCGCCGGCGATGGGGCCGTCCCGATCGATCACGTCCATTCCAAGGCAAGTCTAAAGAATTCCTTTGTTATAATCTAGTCCACTGTTCTTGTGGAAAGCTTCCTCCTGGTTGGTATACTGTTCTTTCTTGCGCTAGACTTGAAAGCTCACCAGCATTGCTCGATCGTTGAGCTCCCTTTCTAGATTCTATCGCGCTTCACACATTTTTTCTCTCTCTTTCTTTTTGGTAGCTACTTGGCTTCTTTCCTTACACTCAAATCCCTCCATGATGCTCGAGACGACTGGAGAGCCTTCTTTTTGTCGGTTAACTGGTGCGCCTTTGTTGTTTCGACTAAACTTTTCCATGGACCGTGTGGGTGTTTTTAGCAGGTCTTTGTCATGGATTTGGATGCGATGGAAGCAGCAGCTTGCGTTCCTTTCTAGTCAGGCTGGATGTCATTGTCGCGAGCAAACACCATCCAACAAGAAGGTAGCGAAGGTAGCTCCTCCTCCTCGCTTGGTTATGGTTTTAAGAATGGAAGTAAGGGGCGAGAGCGAAGCATTCCAATGCGCTGCTCTCCTCCTCCGCCTCGCCATCGCCACCAGCAGTTCGAAGAGCTCTTGCCAGGTATGTTATTTTGGTCCTCTGACTCGCTCCCTGCAAGGCTTTAATGCTTTTCAATGTTGGCCGGAAGTATGCGCCTTTTTAGCAGCGAGCTTTTCCTGCGTGCTTTGTTTTTCTTTGAAAATCCGGTCTCTCAGGTGGTTTTGTCTCTTTGTTTACTCGACAGGCTTGACAGAGAACAATCCCCCCAGCAGCAGCAGCATGGTGAGCCTGGAAGAAGATGGCCTCGGAATCTACACGCAGTGCTCCGAAATCTGGAACAACACTTGACGAGGCAAGAGGTCTTATGGTTTCATTATTCTTTCTAGCGGTGTGGCCTATACGTTGGAGGAGAAAATCCAGGAAGGGGAAGTCTAGAAGCGTGCACGACATACCCAGCACTCCGAAAGACATCCCGGAAGTCAGGACAGAACCGAGCGCGAGAATTTCTCGCAGACCTCCGAGCTTCGATACGTTTGAGTACTCTGTCCGGAGGAATTCGAGCAGTTTCAGGATTTTCAAGCACGGGGATGTGGTGGAGAGCAGCAGCTTAGATTACTCTCCGCCAGTGACAGACACCGAGATGGCTGTGTCCCAGGACAGTGAGAGCAATTCAGGAACGACAGTGTCGTTCACTCCCCAGCAGCAAGTTTCGTCATATCTCGGTTGGGGCAATTGGTACTGTTTGGAGGAACTTGAGATCGCCACTGGTGGATTCTCGGAGAGAAACATAATTGGTGAAGGTGGCTATGGTATAGTTTACAAGGGAGCCGTCTCAGATGGAACGATGGTGGCTTGCAAGTACCTCACCAACAAGTAAGGAACCATTTCTTTTCCTTTCAAAGCAGCTCACCACTAAAATCCTCTTTTCAGAGATCAGGCGGAGAAAGAATTCCTCGTCGAAGTTGAGACAATCGGTCGAGTGCGGCACAAGAATCTCGTGAAGTTGCTCGGTTTCTGTGCGGAAGGCGATCACAGGTGAAGTTTTTTCCTCATCGGATTCTTTCTCATGCCTTGACACGCAGAATATTGGTTTATGAATATGTCAACAATGGTAACTTGGACGAGTGGCTTCACGGCAAAACTTCTCGGTTTAAAACACCTAGCTGGGATTCCCGCATGAAAATCATCCTTGGAACAGCGAAAGGGTGCGCGCTCTTGCTCTTGTTTTTATCGAAGCAAACAACTAACGTTTTCTTTCTCACCGCTGTTAACTAGACTGGCCTACATGCACGAAGCTATAGAACCGAAGATCGTTCACAGAGACATAAAAGCGAGTAACATTCTCCTCGATAGTCACTGGAACGCCAAAGTCTCCGATTTTGGCCTTGCTAAGTTCCTTGGTTGCGAGAAAACACACGTGATGACTAGAGTCATGGGTACTTTTGGGTACGCGCATTGCAGATGCTGTTTTTAAGTTTGTGAAGCCGACATATATTTTTTTTTGGCAGATATGTTGCTCCCGAGTACGCGAACACGGGACTCCTCAACGAACGGAGCGACGTTTACAGCTTTGGCGTCCTTCTCATGGAAGTTGTCACTGGACGAGATCCCGTTGATTACTCAAGACCACCTGGAGAGGTTAGCTCTTACTCTTGAAAAAAAAAAACCATGCTTTAGCTCTAGCGAACTTCTCAACAGGTTAATCTAGTGGATTGGCTGAAGCTCATGCTCGCTACGAGACGCATGGACGATATTGCCGATCCCAGGCTCGAAGAGAAGCCATCGCCTAGAGCTCTAAAGAAGGCGCTCATCACAGCGTTCCAGTGCGTCCATCCGGACGTACGCAAGCGACCAACAATGGGACACGTCGTTCACTTGCTAGAGGCCGAGAACTTCCAGCTTCCAGATGTACAAAAACACTCTTTTTGGTTCTTCTTTCCTGCCAAAGTTTCTAAAAAGATTTGTTTGATCTCTCTCGCAGAGCTGGAGAGCAGTGAAGGAGATGGGATTGTCCAAGCTCATCGAGAGCCAGACGCAAAAGAGGCTCGTCCAGAGCCTCTCGAGAGAGCTCCAAGCGCAAAGCCACAGCAGCGAGAGCCCCCGGACGAAACGAATGCTAGCTCACCAGCGATACGCCGCATAATACAATATGCCGGGGGCATCTATTCGTATGTACATATAGCGCTTGTGCGATGGCGGCCACGTGGACGGTCGACATCTCGCCAGTGGAAATCGCCGGTCAATTTTCACATGCGTGGTGACTCTGAATAAATTTCCAAATGTACCCGCCAGTTTGTCGAAGCTTTGACCGGGAGTGAAAAGAAAATTCCTCCGATGCCATCGGCATCGCGCAGACGTGGCAGATCCAACGGCTGACATGGGCGGACGTGTGACAGCCCGTCCAAGTGACTGTACAGTGGATTCCGCGATTGAGGGTTGGGTTTTGGGAGGAATGCGGGGCCGTCGATGCGCCAGGATGGAGCAATGCGAGGCGGCAGCGCGGTTCTAGACACAATTCGAGCTCGCGGCGCGGTATTTTGATCGCGCCCTGGCGATCGCTGGCGCTCGCTACCAGGTGATTTGCCGAGGTCTCGAAATGCCGTAGCGGCGGCGGGGCGGCGGTGGATCTGATTGCTGTGCGGCCACGGCGAGCCGGGGCAATGGCAAATATCGGGATCTTGGTGCTGGCGCTGCTGCTTCGCGCCGTGATTCGTGTCTATGGCAACGCCGAAGGTATTGAAATTCCTTTGTTCGCGAGTCCGAGGCTATAGAGGCGAAATTTCTTGCTTCCAGGTGATGCTCTCCACGATTTGAAGAGCTCGCTCATGGACCCGAGCAGTGTTCTCCAGAGCTGGGACTCGACGCTGGTGAATCCCTGTACTTGGTTCCATGTTACTTGCGACAATGATAATTTCGTCACTAGAGTGTAAGTTTTGACCAGAAGAACAGTGGTGGTGGGCTTTTAGACTGACGCTCTTTTGGCTCTTTTCAGAGATCTCGGTAATGCAGCTCTGTCGGGAACGCTAGTTCCATCACTTGGTCGTTTAAGCCACTTACAGTACTTGTGAGTTCTAATCAAAAGATCAAAGTACCAACTAAAAGCACTTGCTTGGTTTTGTCTTTGATTTGCAGGGAACTGTACAGTAATAACATCACTGGAGAAATTCCACCTGAGCTAGGCAACTTATCCAACCTGGTGAGCCTAGATTTGTACCAGAACAATTTTACATCTTCGATACCAGATACAATTGGGCGTCTGACTAAGCTTAGATTCCTGTAAGCTAGCACTTTTCGCACCCTTATCGTCTCACGCAGGATCTTATGCAGTCGTCTCAACAACAATTCTCTGTCTGGGAGTATTCCCATGTCGCTTACAAATATAAACGGCTTGCAAGTACTGTGAGTAACGCGCTTGGTCTGCCTGTTCTTTTTGGCGTTTAACTTATTGACACTTTTGCAGTGATCTTTCTAACAATGATCTATCTGGGCCAGTTCCTACGAATGGATCCTTCTCCCTGTTCACTCCTATCAGGTAGATATGAAGCAACAACAATTTTTTGTCCTATAACTAACCAGAATGTCTTCAGTTTCAACAATAATAGAGATCTTTGTGGACAAGCAGTCAATAAACGATGTCCCAACGGCCCACCTTTGACTCCTGCACCTCAATATTTAGCACCGCCATCTGGAGCAAACAATGGTACTGCAATGTCTTAGCTTTGGAACTTCAATTTTTTCTAACTTAAGAACTTAATTCTTCTTAGGGAGAACACAGTCATCAAGCTCGTCAAACACTGGAGCTATTGCTGGTGGAGTTGCTGCTGGCGCTGCTCTTCTTTTTGCTGCTCCGGCTATTGGATTTGCTTGGTGGAGAAGACGGAGGCCACCGGAAGCTTACTTTGACGTTCCTGGTAAGTTTATTGGGTGCTATTTGTTTGTTCTTACCCTTTGTACCGTTCTAATGACCAGCTGAAGAAGACCCCGAAGTTCATTTAGGACAACTAAAAAGATTCTCTCTGCGAGAACTGCAAGTGGCTACCGATGGTTTTAGTAACAAAAACATCCTTGGGAGAGGTGGTTTTGGCAAAGTGTACAAGGGGAGATTGTCGGATGGCTCACTAGTAGCCGTTAAAAGGCTTAAAGAAGAACGCAGTCCGGGTGGAGAGCTGCAATTTCAAACAGAAGTGGAAATGATCAGTATGGCTGTTCATCGAAACCTTCTTCGCCTACGAGGTTTCTGCATGACTCCCACCGAACGCTTACTTGTATATCCATATATGGCGAATGGAAGTGTAGCATCTCGGCTAAGAGGTGAGTGAGTTTTTTTATTCTTTCATTTTCTTCCTCACTTTCTAACACTTGTGTTGTTTCAGAACGAAATCCAGGGGAGCCATCACTTGATTGGCCTACCCGAAAGCGCATTGCTTTGGGATCAGCAAGAGGCTTGTCTTACCTGCACGACCATTGTGATCCCAAAATCATCCATCGCGATGTAAAAGCGGCAAACATCCTGCTAGACGAGGAATACGAAGCAGTGGTTGGTGATTTTGGACTGGCAAAGCTCATGGATTACAAAGACACGCACGTAACAACTGCCGTTCGTGGTACCATTGGTCACATCGCGCCAGAGTACTTGTCCACCGGCAAGTCGTCCGAGAAAACAGACGTCTTCGGGTACGGTATCATGCTTCTGGAGCTCATCACCGGGCAAAGAGCCTTCGATCTTGCACGATTGGCGAATGACGACGATGTGATGCTTCTCGACTGGGTACGTGCGCGCTTTATTTTACTTCTCTCAGGCTTCTTATGCGTTGCGTTGGCTTCGCTGCTATTTTGCTCAGGTGAAAGGACTTCTCCGGGAGAAAAAAGTCGTCCAGCTCGTCGATTCCGATCTTCACAACACGTACGACTTGGGTGAAGTCGAGGAACTCATCCAGGTGGCTTTGCTCTGCACGCAAGTCTCTCCCAACGACAGGCCAAAGATGGCAGACGTCGTCCGGATGCTCGAAGGCGACGGCCTTGCCGAGCGATGGGAAGAATGGCAAAAGGTGGAGGTTGTCCGCAACCAAGAGATGGATTTCGTCCCCCAGAGAGCATCAGACTGGATCATCGACTCCACGGACAATCTTCACGCCGTGGAGCTGTCTGGGCCGAGATAGCCACTTAGAGGTACTTCATCATCTTTTCACTTAATGTTTTTGGTGGTGATTTTTTCTTATTCCTTTTTTTTTTTTGTGGCAGGAACCTTGTACGAGCTACTATGGACTTCAGTAGATCCAACCTCGTGTATACAGATTACTCCTCTCCCTTTTGCTTTCTTCGAAGCAATGATTTTGCTTAATCAAATCAGCTGGCTTGTATGATTTTCAAGAAGAGAAATTTCGTTTCCCAAAGACTGGGAAGAAAGCATCAAGGATTTTTATGTGCATTGATAAAGTGGATTTAATTTGTATAAAGTTTATCATGATCCAGTTCCATCTAACAGCATTCTTTTGGAAATCTATTACTAAATCATTTATTTATCATTTCTCATTACTACATTAGTATTGTTGTAGCAATTTCCTTGTGAGGTTTAATTTTGCTCTAAAATAGTAGTATTTTGTTGTTAAAGATTAATTAAGACAAACAACACAATCTTCCACAATAGCATGTAATAAAGCAAACCTATCACTACTAAATCATCATTGAGTGAGGCAATTATTAATAGTCTTTAATAAAATTTATAAATAATCATTAGTTGCAAAATAATTAACAATCACTCTTAAATTTGCTGTTATAAGACTCAAACACTAAATTTACATCATCAAGTTATATATTTATCCAATATAAAAGTAACACTTTGAATACAATACATAAAAATATAAATAATTATGGACAAAATAACTACTTAAGTCCAATCATACAACACTAACCCTATCAACATCTTTAACAAATAGCTTTGAGTACAATTGAAGAGGTTAACTATGAATAATTAGCATTTAGTTGAAATTAAAGTGAAGACTATGAGACAGATTTATATAAATACATAACTTAAAATTGTTAACATTTCAACTACAAACAACTAAGCTAGATATCACCATCCTCAACTACACCAAAACTAAGTTAAATTTAATTAGAGTTAACTACTCTTATAAAATTTAACTAAATATAAGATGTAATCTACCACTAAATATAATGTTACATAAGAAAGGTCTAAGGGAAAAAAAAACAACCACTTTTTTACTCTAACTTTAGTCAATTTTAACCTTTTCATTACTTTATAATAGCTTTCGAAAATGAAATGGTTTTTGGACAAAATAATCAATAAATAAACCATTTAAAAAATTTATAGAAAATTTTCTTTATTACAAAAAGAATAACTCTTGGTCCAATAATGTAAATTTTTAATACTCAACCAACTTCCTCTTATTTACAATTTTATATATATTCACTTCAACTTAAATTTTCATGACTCAACAATATGCCTAAGAGTCCAATATTATGCCCATATATCTAACATTTGACAATGATATCGCAAATGCTAATAAATACCCAAAACTTGATCACAATACAATATTTTTAGATATTTAAGCTGTACTTAGTAAATTGTTAAATGGAAAATATATATTATTGTTATGTCAAGTGATAAAGAATTTTCCTTACAACTTGATTTTCCATATCTTAATTTGAAAGTGATTAAAGAAGAATATAAATGCAATATGGATAACAGAAGATATGATTTTGTAAGTCACACATATATATTACAATAATTTGAGCATGTATATGCATATATCTTGATCTTCTACAATTTTTTACCAGCCCATGCACCCTACTCCCCTACAAAATAAAAAATAGAAAATACTCTTCCTTTGCCTTTGCCTTCCCTTTTGCGTCATAGACATTATTAGAAACTTTACATTCCTGACTCTAGCCCTTGCTGCAGCAGCAGCAAATTGGTCGAATCAGTCAGGTTCCACAAGCTCTGCCAATGAACAGAAGGGGCATTTCGCGGATTAAAATGCCACTTTCCAAGTGGGATTTTTTCACTAGTGAATTTGTTGTGCCGGCTGAGTACTTCATGCTGTGCCACACTCGAAGTGTTATCATGGCTCACGGAGAGTGCTAGCTATGGCACTTTGCATTGTCTTGCCTCTCTCTTTAGATAGCCAACCTAAGAAAAAGAAAGAGCAGAAGCTAACAGCAGTGAAAAGAAAACAAAGAAAGATTTTTTGCATACTTGGAACCATGATAATGTGTTTTAGGTGGCCACCATGCTGTAGCTCGCTTCCCAAAGTAACTAGCTTGGCTTGGAGTGCGAGCAGGCAGCCTTGCCAGTCGAAATAGATGAAGAGGTGCAAGAACACCTCTGGGACGGGAACCCGGAGAACTCATCTACATCGTAGAACCCCTGCTAAATAATTCAGCTCCAGCCCAAAGTGCTGGAATGCCCACCCTCAGCAATATGGTACCTGTGCTGCTTTGGAGCCAATCTGCCACGATCAGACCCACGCACGGATCGCATCCCACCATCATTCATGCGATCTGGCTAGCTCGCCCAGAAATCCTTGGCAGCATTGCTACCTCGTGATCTTGTCTGATTGAGCAAGCACCGCCGAGAGAGCGCGCCACCGCCGCTGCTGCGTTCTTCATTCGGCCGCGATCAGTATGACCTTTGCAGCGCTCGTGAGGGCAGGGAATGGGGACTTGAGAATCCCTAGCCCCAGCAGCAATCTCGCGAGTCCCTGTAAGTTCTTCCAGGATTGGGTTCTTCCAGGCTTGGTTGAGAACTTATCTTCGTTCTTTCCTCTTTGTTTGAGAACTTATCCTCGTTTCTTTCTTTCTTTCCTTTTAGGAGAATGTATTCTCAGAGTGTGGGAGTATGGATCAGCGTTACTCGTAAATGTCCCATTTGTCGACAACCAAACACTCGCTTGTGGCCTAGCGAATTTTCTAGGACTGAATAAGCTATGAATTTCATGCCACTGCTAACTGACATGGCACAATCTTAACTTCGATAGCCGCGAGGAGCCAACTTTCCCTCCCTTTTGGATGAGCTCCACGGACGAGACAATCTCGACAGTTCCATTTTACACGGTTTTTCGTTTCTGCGCATTGATAATGTGGATTTAATTTGGACAATTAATACAAACCTTGGATTAAAGTTCCATCTGTTACATCTCTTTGATTAACTTTGAAGTGAAGGCCAGAGTTCCTAGAAGTCCCATGGTAACAACAATGGTACCACCAAATTTCCTACTATTCGTCCACATTCACGAAAGAATTGAGCATGGCATATCCAGTCGAGTAGAGCTCGCGTCCAGCGAGCTTGTAGAGAGCACGAATTGGGGAGAGGAGTAATTGGTAAGAACTTGGAAGATACTGGCTTACACCGAGAGCGTCGAACAACGAATCTAGAAACCATTCGCTGTGAACGGAGGCCACTATGTCATTGACAAGAATGTGACCGGAGAGTGTCAAGGGATTATATAATCCCAGCTTCTCGACCTCGGAAAGCTCTGCCGAAAACAAACATAATGCAAGGAAAAGAAGAACTTCTGGTATGAAATGGTGGTTCTAGAGTGATCACCTGTAACTTGCGAGACTCCAAATCTTGTGAATAGACGATCATCGACTTTAAGATCCGCAGCTCTCTTGTAGACCACTTTCTCTTCGACTTGAACTGGGATGAAATGACCAGCAGTGAGCTCAAGAACAATTTCATCAGTTTTGACTTGCAAAAACTTATGAGCAGCGTCAAGTTCCTTGTGTCCAAACGCATATATTTCCGAGTAGCCACTTCCTGGTCCCCCTGCAACCTATGAAATCCCAAAGGACCAAATTTCAACACAAAAAATCATGGCATTTTAAAACACAAAACCTTGTCCCCAATTTTGAGGTCTTTCATGGCTCTTGATCCTCCATCATACAGATGTACCAAAGCATCACCTGCTTAAAAATATAGAGCTAAAAAACACTACAAATTTCTACTCCATTACCTGGGAAGCAGCCATCTGCAATGCAAGCAAAGGTTTTCATACCATTAACAACGATTTTCCTGCACTTGAACCCAGCAGTGCAGTTGTCTGGAATGGGTAGACATGCTTTTCCAGATTGTGCAGTCACACATGGAATGAACTCAACAAGACTTATCAAAGGCAGGAAAAATAGCAAGGAAGCCATAGCCTTAGGAATCATGTAGGTAGCCAATACATATACTAAACACTAATAATATTAAAATTAATTATAGTATTAATAATAATTAGGAGAGGAATTATTACCTACTAAAAGATGTTGTAACAGAATGGTTAATGGTGTAACTTAGGTTCTCACCCATATTCTTCCCCAGAAAATCATATCACATGTAATTACGTTTAAGTTCATCCTATTTAAGCAGTGCATGGCCAATGATTCTTCATATGCTTAGTGTCTCCTTAAGTATATTTGAAAGACAATGGCTTCTCTAGCTGCTGTGTTTGCTGTGGTCTCTCTTCTTGGATTGTTTTCCACTGTGTTTGCTACTAATATAGTGAGGTGCAATACTACTGCTGATTGCACACAAGCGGGGCTAACTGGATTCACATGTAACAATGGAATATGTCAAAACAACACTGGATGCTTTCCAGGTAATAAAGTTATTCTCTAGAAATTACACTGTGCTATGTAACCATGCAATATCTATCTAGGTGATGCAATGGTTCATATGTACAGTGGAGAAATGAAGACCATGAAGGAACTTAAGATTGGAGATAAGGCAAGATCCTAGCTAGTAATCCACTTTGCTTCACATGATTAATGAGCTTCCACAGGTTGCTGTTGGGAAGAATTCATTTTCGGATATCTACGCATTTGGTCACAAGGATCTAGATGTTGTCTCTGAATTCGTGCAAGTCAAGACCGAAGCCAACACCTTGGAGCTTACAGCCGGTCACTTTGTCCCAGTTAACACCAAAGGAGAGATAATTTACAAGCGAGCTGCTGATCTCAAAGTTGGCGATAGCCTGTCCACAATCTCTGGAGCCTCACCAATCACAGGTACAAGAAACCACACCTCTTAACGCTCTGTAATAACACAATGTTGATATACGCAGAGATCTCAAAGGTTGGCAAACTGGGACTCTACAACCCCTTGACACTGTCAGGCGAAATTCTTGTCAATAACGTAGTGGCCTCTGTTCACAGCGAATGGTTCTTAGATTCTCTGTTCGATGCCCTTGGTGCAAGCGAATACCTCCCATATGCATACCAGTCCCTGCTCGCTCCAGTTCGTGCTCTTTACAACATCGCTGGAAGCAAGCTCTACTCGGCTGGATACTCCATGCTCGATTCTTGCGTAAATGTGGCAGACTCTGGCACCAAGTATGGAGCCACCATTGTGGTCACCATTGGTCTTGGAGCTCTAGCCTTTGCAGCTCGCTCCATTTAGAGCCGCCAAATTTTTTTATGAAGAATAATTACTGTTATCATAACATTTTAATCTTGGTTTTTCTAACCAACTATATTAAACTTAAGATATTTTATTAAAAAATCATAAAAAGATAGATGTCAAAAGTATAAAGTAAGGATTTTTTTCGTTAGGAAACTAAATTTTACAACATAAAACAAAGAATATGTGATTATGTATGCATACATTATATCTTAACACATGTGTGGAGTTTTTTTTATTAATTTTTTTAGTTATACGTGTGAGTTCGAGGTGTACAGTTACAATGCCATATATTAATATTTGTGTAGTTAGTCATATGAAGTATTTTAATTTGGACATGAATGTCATTACCAACTAAGTTTGATTGTGCAACTGCAACTATATAGCATCAAGCGATTACACAAATTGCACCGATTGTTACTTTAGAATCAAATAAGGAGTTTCCCCTGCCATGAAAATTCCACAAAGAAGCTCCATCACAAGCTTGGAGCTTCCTTGACGGCCATAGCCTTCCACGAGAGCTGTCCAGGCCGCTAGCTCCTTGGCAAAGATCTTATCAAAAACCAGTCGAGCGTCCACCATGCTTCCACACTTGCCATAGAAGTCGACCAAACTAGTCCCAACGATGAGAGATTCTTCCATCCCCAGGCGGCAAGCTAGAGCATGAGTGGCTTTGCCCCGTCCCAGAGAGGCCAGGCTTCCACTAGCCTTGAGAGCAGCAGCCAAGCTGTGAGCGTCCAAAACTCGAGGAGGAATCTCTCGAAAGAGCTCCAAGCCCAGCGCTGCTTGCTTGTTCTCGGCATAGCCCAGGACCATCGAGCTCCATGCTGCGACGTCGTCTCTCGGCATCGTGTCGAAAACTCGTCGAGCATCCCCCATGCTCCCACACTTGGCGTACATCGCCACAAGTCCGCGAGCCACCTCGTAGTCATTCCAGCCGGCATGGTAAGCTTGAATGTGGAACGCCATGCCTCTCTCCAGGCACACCATCTTTGCGTCCACTTCCCCTCTGGATCCCAAGCACGCGCAGAGATTGAGTCCCGAGAGAATGCTCGATCGATCAGCATCATCGCCAAGCTCCACGAACTTGACAAGCTCTAGAGCTCGCTCTTCTTCACCATTCGAGACGTAGCCAAGCAGAAGTGCCGTCCATAAAACCATATCCCG